GGAGGAAATACGTAAAGAAGAATTTTGGGCCATGGGCTGTGAGCAAACGCATCCACCCCTAGCGGTGATTCGTCTCGCAGGCTCGGTGAGAACCATAGTTGACACACTGAGCGTTCTCTCGTGTTGCAAACAGGTCCACGGCCGCTTTGCCAAATTTCTGCCACGTCTGAGCCATCAGCTCTGGATGGGGGTGTCCAGTCCCTGTGACACAGACCGCCCCTGGACATCACATCTGCCCCTTTGTTCAGAACACTGGGGATGTACACTGCTCTGATGGAGAGCAGATTTCGGTGTGCCCAATACAGCAACCATCTCTCATTGTGTAACATTTGGGCTGAGCGCACACACCCCTGCCAGATTATGAATGCAGCAGTAACCTTGTTGTCTGTGTGAATCAACACATGTTGATTCTGGAGCACAGAGGCAAAGTGTTGAATCACATTCAAAACCGCGCAACCTTCCAGAACGTTTATATGAGCTGTTGTGTGAGGTGGCCACAGCACCCCTACAGCTCGGGATAGGCATGTTCCCCCTCAACCTGACAGTGACGTGTCTGTGAAGACTGACATGTGTGACGTAGGTCTTATGACAGGGACTCCCTCCGACAGAACCAGGGGGTTTCCCCAGTGTCGGAGGTCTGTTCTCACGGAGGGAGGTACAGCGATCATCCGTCTCTTCTGCTTTACCGGATCCACATGAGACAAGCAAAACATCTCTGGAGGCGTCGCATGTGGAGTAAGACCAGTGGAACCTCTGTGTGATCTGGCAACATCATTCCTTACAGCTTTATGACGGAAATGGCTGTTACCACTCTGCCAGGCCTTATGTGGCGGAGCTGGTATTTTAGAGTTTCGATTTTCGTCTGTGATAAATGAGCCCTCATGGTGATCAAGTTAGCTCCCCTCCCAGATAAACGATTGTCTGGGCCAAGAGAATCAAGCTTTTTTCCCAATTTATGGCAAAGCGCAGATTTAACAGGTGTGACGTCAGCACCTGGGTCTGAGCTGCTTCTTCCTGTCTGGAACAGTCAGCAGTAACAAATCGTCTAGGTAAAATAAAATTCTCATCCCTGCTCTGTGTAACGGTTGATCGGGATGTGGAAGTAGGTGTCTTCTAGTTCGATGGAGATAAATCAATCGTTTCACTGAATGTTGTCTAACCGCTGTTTGGTTGTCAACATGTGAAACTGTGTTGAAAAATTGACAAGTCCAAAATGGTTCATATCCCTCCGGTCCATTTTGGGACCAGGAAGTAACATGAGTAAAACCCTGTGTTTTCTTCTCTTGTGGGAACCCTGGAAATTGCATATTTTACCAGAAAATTCCTGAACTTCTGTGTGTAGGGATGAGATCTGGACTGAGGATGACAAAACCATCTCTAAAACTCCTCCAAACGGGGGTTTGAGCTGTAATTGCAGCGTGAATCCCCCGCTGATACAAACGGTTCATCCATCTGTCTAGAGCGCATGTTTGCTGCCACTCCGCGTAATGTTTGGGAAGCGGGCACACGTTTATGCTGTGTCACGTTATTTATGAACGTCAATCACTGCTGTCATGTGTGCCTCACTCAGGTTGCGGGCTCACATTCATGCTAATGTGAGCCGGCATGCGCTGAGGGAAGGTGCGCGCGCCCCGAGCATGCGGAACCATGTAGATTTAGGGCTGCTGCAGGTACACGGTGCTTCTGTGCTGCGCTCAGGCTGCGGGCTCACATTCATGCTGATGTGAGCCGGCATGCGCTGAGGGAAGGTGCGCGCTCCCCGAGCATGCGGAACCATGTACGTTTAGGGCTGCCATGGGTGCGCGGTGCTTCTATGCCACGCTCAGGCTGCGGGCTCACATTCATGCTAATGTGAGCCGGCGTGTCCTGAGGAGAGGTGTGCGCACCCTCATCAATGCGGCGCCGTTTGGGTGAAAACTGCCGGCGCCGCGGGAGCACGTGTTTGACACCACTGCGGTGAGAGGAAGCAGTGTGCACCTCAAGCTGAGGGCGAGGTTTCCCACTGGACTCGGTCTGCTGAAAACATTCACTTTCAGCTGCTGTGTCACACGAGCGTTCTGTGTGTTCCTTGAGCTGTGATGATTTTGAAAAAACCTGTTTTGAGGACACCGGCTCGTTGTGTGGAAGATGTGTGAGGAGAAGCCGCTGTGAGGTCATTCGAACTGACAGAAAGGCTGAATCAGACACTTTAATCTTTGAATGATGTTCGTGTTTTATTTCAAAACTCTTGTCATCATTTGCATACACACATCCCCTGCAAGGAGTCATTCCTGAATCTTCTCCCCCATGAGCCCTGCGGTTTGTTGTGCCAGGGCGCCGCCTGTTGGCGATCTCTGGGGAAACGCTGAACCGCTGGTTGCCGGGATGAGAAGGGCTGTTCTCTGACGGCGGAGCGAAGCGGGAGGACGCTGCTGCAGCTGTGGAACATCTCTGTTGCTGCCTTTGGCCACGACGATCTTTCCAGCAGGCCTGGGGGTGGAATGAGGCGTGCGGCTGATCAGATGGCGCACAGTCTCCGCCACCTCCTCTGGCTTTTTCGATTTCTCGAGCATGTCAGACAGCAGACGAGTAACACGGGTTGAGGGTGATGTCAGACGCCTTGCATAGGGAGCTCTTTGTCTCTTGAGGCAGGTCTGTCCCTCCGGCCTCTGAGATGCTGTACGTCAGTGGCGCAATGTATTGTTTGCTGCGGCCGCCTGGAACGCATACTGGTGAGCTCAGTTGGAGAGCGACGTCACCATCTGGTCATGCCTCCCCGGAGGCACAGGATGCTGGTCCAACCTGGACATCTTTGCTCCGAGAGCCTCCACCAGGCTTGGCTCCGGGGGGGGGGGGGGGGGGGGGGGG